GTGTGTGTGTGTGTGTGTGTGTGTGTGTGTGTGTGTGTGTGTGTGTGCATGTGTGTGCCTACATGTGTGTGTCTATATATGCTTGTGTGTGGCACAGGAGCATTCAGGTGCACATCCCCATACTCTTTGTATCCAGAATGCTCCACTGGAGCCAGTGGGTATGAACATGGGGTTCCAGTCAGCCTTTGTCTCAGTCTGAGCATTGTAACATTGTTCAAGCATAATTAACTCATGAACTATTTGTACAATCAATTACTGAAGTCCAGCACAAACCTACGCCCTGTAGACACCTGGGACACAGAAGCCAGACTCAGCTGGTACCTGGCATATAAGCCACCAGTGCAGGATAGCTCACCAGACCTAAGAACCTAGAGGTTCTGGCACAGCATGGATATCTGATCATTCGACAATTAGGAATGAGTAAGCCTGCTCATGTTCCCAATACCCCATCCAGCTCCACCCCTCCCGGCTCCACAGAGCCCTTGTCCTGAACCTGCCTTTTCTCTGACTCTCCTGAGGGGCAAGAGGTACCAGGCACTTGCTGACTGAGTCACAACCTCCCTCCTACTGAGCCCCCAGTATTCTCTGGGGCCTGAAAGCCGTGGGCTACAGAAACAGATGGACCCAGGGAGCGCACAGGGCAGGTGGTGCAAGCACTTACGTATCCTCTGGCTGCCCAGTGCGATCAGGTAGTCACTGCCCTGTGCGGAGGGCAGGTCAGAGCTGGTGATGACCACCGTGTCCGGGCCCATGCAGTGTAGCACGTCCATCACCTGCCAGCAGAAGGGAGAGTGTCAGCACCTCTGGCCACAGTGGCTCTTCCTGACAGTCACCTTCAAGGGGGATGACCCTGGTTGGCCACTGTCCTCTGCAATCAGAGCTGAAGCAGCCAGCCATGGCCAGCATGCTTGATAGACTCTAGAGGACCTGGAACATTGCACACACATGGCCAAGCCTGTGGTCTGCCATCTTCTGTCAGGGCCCATTGACAGCTCAGAGTCTGGAAATGTGGGGAAGCCTGGGGGCCATGCCCCAACTCTTTGGGAACTGGGAAGCCAGTCATATCCACCAATGAGAAGCAAGCTTCTCTCCAAGCTGGTTTAAAAGTCTTTTTGCTGTTTGTTTTTATTGATTCATTTGAGGCAGGGTCATACTATATAGTTCTTGCTGACCTGAAATTGGTATGTAGACCAGGGTGGTCTTGAACTAACAGAGTTGCACTCCCAAGTGCAGTTGAGTCATGACACCTCAAGATGGCGACATTCCCTTAAACCCCATGGATGCTCCAGCCTACACTACAGTGCTCCCAGACACACAGGAAAAACACTCTGATATAAGATAGAAACAAATAAATCTTTGAAGATAAAACAAAAGGTCTATCTCCTCCGGACTCTGGGTGGCTCATTCCTGCTGGCTGATGTAGGACAGTGGGAACTGAAGGTAATCAGAGCAGTGATAGGCCACGAGGATGACACATGAGGCTGGCTTTGGGGTGCAACAGATAAGACTGGACCCTTAGCTTACACAGTGCCCAGCACACAGGAGGCACTCATTCCATGTGGTGGCTGCTCTGAGCTGAATTGTGACGAGATCCACTGATGTCATCACCCCCCAATGTCATGAATTGGATTCTGTTTGGCCTTAAGCACAGGCCACAGGAGAGTGACCTGCACCTCATTGTCTTAAAGAGATGACTCCTGTCCTATAAAGGATGGTGATGGGGAGCATGGCTGGATCATGAGGCAGCTAGGCCATGAGTCAAAACCTTATACCCACAGCAAAAGGAGCTGGAGGTGGCAGACAGAACCTCCTGGGGACCCGAGAGAGAGAGTTCACCCTGCCTGCACCTGACTGTGGGGTTTTCAGACTCTACAGCTGGGAGAGAACGCTGTGGTAGAGCAGCTCCAGGTCACAGACATGGACACATGGTAGACCGAGCATAGAACTGACAGAGGGACAGAGGTGCCAGTCAATGACAAAAGCTGGGCATTTGCCACATCTGAGGTCAGAGCTCAGTATTTCTCAAATGCCATCTGTTCCTGAAGATGGGTATCTGTCTCCTTCCCAGTAACTAGGGCCCTGTGTAAAGGTCTCCTTCCTGTGAATAGGCCCATGTATGAAGGTCTCCTTCCCCATGAACAGGGTCATGTATGAAGGTCTCCTTCCCCGTGAACAGGGCCATGTATGAAAGTCTCCTTCCCCATGAACAGAGCCGTGTATGAAGGTCTCCTTCCCCAAGAACAGAGCCATGTATGAAGGTCTCCTTTCCTATGAACAGGGCCATGTATGAAGGTCTCCTTAGCCACGACAGAGCCATGTTAGAAGGCTCCCTTACCTCCAGTGCTTCTTCCTCGCTGTGGATTTTTCTGCCACTCAGCAACCTGGAATACAGATGGGAGCAGTGATCCAGTCCCCACGGTACAACCACCCTGGCAACTGACCTACATCCCCACAAGAGACCATCACCGCGTCTACTGGCCATAGGAACCAGGGGAGGCAGTGACACACATGGAAGAGTGGGGAAGGTCAAGGGGAAATGTGTCATACACGGTGAGGTTCCAGTCTGTGGTGATGGCCTGTAGGTGACAGCAGTGAGAACCAGCCGCCTACAACCCCTGTGTCTCTCACCACAGTAGTCAGGTAACGGATGTTTACAGAACTCTGACGGCCAAAATGACCAGCACAACCCATGCACATGCCTGCTGACAGCACAGGACCCTCAGCCACTCAGTGTATAAACATCCACCAATGCTTGCATCCCGGGTTTGCAGGAACCATCTCACAGGATAGAGAGGCCTGGGTGCTGCAAGTCTAGGTAACTGGCAGGTCTCTTAGGAGCAGACTCTTCAGCTAATCAGGGGCCGTGAGCTCTGAGAGAGATCTATGGCCTGCAGTTCCACCTGGGGGCATTCCCAGCCATGTGAGTCCTCAGCTAGACAGGTGCCACCTCCTCTTTCTCTCCTTGGAGCATCTTCCCAGCAGGGGGATACTGCGAGCCCACACAATCATGAACAGACAACCAGGGAGAAAGAGCACTTGTCATGACAATAGGGGCGATGGGAACCACTGTGGTGTTAGCGGTACAGGTTTATAGGGTCAAGGGTGACACATCAGTCTAGTGCAGGCCAGGTTCTCTAAGGCCACCAAGGACCTGAGCAGGCAGACGTGGGGCTGCTGGGACACACGTAAAGATGGTGCAGGGCTCGCCAGGGCAGCGGGCCCTGCTGGCTATGCAGTTACTTACTCAGCCTCAAACTGGTTGGGAGTGATGATGTCTGCCACGGGCACCACTTTGTCCCTGTACACGGGAAGGAGGTCCTGTGGAACGTACTGGAGAGCACAGGAGACAAAGAAGGGGACTTACTCTCACAGGAAGAGGGCCCAGTGGAAGAACGCTCCCAAAGCCCATATCCTGTGGGAAGACCTGGCATTGCCACCAAGAAGGGCCTGGGAGCAGGAGGGCTAGGCCTCAGCTCACCAGAACCAGAAGGGAGAACAGTAAGGAGGGAGCTAAGACACAGGACTGCACAGGATGACGAGAGGCAGCCTCTGGCCCTCAGGACCTGACAGCCGGGAATGGGTCCACCTCGCTCTGGGAGCCTGAGTCCTGAAGCGTCTCATCTCCACCTAAGACATTGCTTGTGAGCCAACACACTCTGATCATCTCGTTTTTGTTTTAAGTTATCAGAGAACAACTAAATAGAACAGTGCTCCCTTGTGTCCCTTTTCCTGAGACAGGTTCTTACTCTGTAGCCCAGGCTGGCCTAGAACTCAGAGCAATCCTCCTGTTTCCTTCCAAGTCCTGAGATTACTGGGTTGGGTCACCAGACTAGCTTAGAACAACCTTCCACTTTTCTTCGTTACTATTTCCATGTTGGGGATGGACTTAGGGCCTCATGCCTGTTGGGCAAGCATGAACTATACCTTCAAGTTCATCCTTTTAAATGTTTGATTAATGTTAGCCTCGACCTCACAATCACCTCACCTCAGCCTCCCAAGTAACTAGGATTACAGATACCCACAACCACGTCTGGTTCCTGACATCCAAGGCCCACAAGAGGCTTTGAAATAACTGTCTGTTCCCATGAGGATTTGCGGTACTGGTGAGTGGTCCAGGGGTCTAGTCTCTCCCCACTCAGTTGCTGATGAATTTCCCTAGAGGTCCAAGGTCCTGTGCAGATGGACTCCCGCTGGCTGGCATAAGTTGGCATAAATTGGAGAAGAGCTAAGAATAGATGGGACCACTTAGACCGTCCAACTCCTAAACTCAGGGCTGACCATGACATCTACAAGCTGTCTGCTTGTTTGAACCTAGCACGTCTTGAATCTAGGCAGAGGTTCTCAACCTCCCTAATACTGTGACCCTTTAATACAGTTCCTCATGTGATGACCCAGGTCATAAAATTATTTTCATTGCTACTTCATAACTGTAATTTTGCTACTGTTATGAACTGCAATATAAGTATCTGATGTGCAGGATATCTGATCTAGGCCCTCCAGGAAAGTCATTTAATCAAAATCAGGACACAGCAGAGCGAGTGACACTGAGCCCCAAGGAGAGCTCTTTAGGACCAAACACCAGCATCACCTAGCTTTGCTGGGGATACTGCAGCAAGCATCAACAGGAAGAAAGGAGGGATGGGGGTCTAGTGTAGGGAACCTTCCAGAAAATGAGCACTGGAGAAAGCAGATGAAAACACAGCCACTGAGCTAAGTAGACACCTGGTCTAGTCACTGCCACCGGACTCCACTGTCAGAGCAGGGCAGAAAGGACACAGGTCCAGGTGAGTTCTGCACTGGTGTGGACCACATGTGGCCGGCTATGCTCAGGGAACTCTCAAAGAGTAATGGATGAGTCAAAGCCACACAGGCAAATGCCAGGGTGGTCTGTGCATTAAAATGCTGACTTTAAAATGTTGGGACTCTGTGTTGCGGCCTCCTATCTCCACAGTCTGAGTTTCGGTGACGGTGACAGGACCTGTTCACCCAGGGACTGTGACCCACCCACTGCCCAGTTTTGAAAAGCTGGTGAGCTCAGAGTGACTTCCTCATTGTTAAACGGATAGGGACAGCGAGCCCAAAACTGACAGACTGTCTGTGGTTCCCACCCTAGCTGATGGCTGTCCCTCATTTGACCAACTTCCTACAGGGGTGACTCAGCGTTGGATGGGGTCCACACAGGTTTACCCAGGAAGGTGACCTTCTCTTTGGTTCAGAGCAGATGGACAGACCCCGTGTCTAAGAGCAGAGGGAGTGCACTCACCATGGAGCCTTCGCCGTTCCACTTGTCTCCCATCACGGGATCGCACACTGCGGGGACACAGCATCGGGTCAGCAACTGCTATGGCTTCCGATGACAGACCTCCACACTGTCTGCTTTCTCACTGTGCAGCCCAGGCTAGCCTTGCACTCACCATCTTCCTGCCTCCGCCTCCCATGTAGCTGAGGACACAGGCATGCACATCACACCTGCCTCCACATCTAATGCTTGCTCTAACCGCCAGAGTGTGTGCCTGCGGGTGTGTACATGGACCATGTGTGCAGGTGCCCAGGGGTTCAGAAAAGGGCACAAGAGCCCCTGTCGTGGGATTTGCAGGCAGTTATGAGCCACCGGAGTGGGTGCTTGGAACTGAACTCGGGGCTTCTGTAAGAGGAGTGCACATCCTTAACTCTCATCAGCCCTGGCTGCCTTTGAACTCACTGTGTAGCTGGGATGACCCTGAACTTCTGACTCTGAGGACTGGGATTGCAGGTGCACACCTCCACATTCTGTTATGTGGTATGGGAGACCAGACCCAGGCTTCATGTGTGCTAGGCAAGCACTCTGCCAACTGAGCCTCAGCCCTGGTCTCTCAATCATGTTAACATTACATACACACGGAGACCCAAGAACAGTTATGTGCACCAGCACCTTGCGCTTCTCTGCCCGAGACAACTAGGTCCTTGGGATAATTTCACACACACCATCACTCACACCTTTGTCTCAAGCACACATTACCTCAGGTCACCTGGACCAGCATAGTTCCCTCCCCCCAGTCTGGCTGAGAGAATACTAAACCAGCTTTCACTGTATCTTCCCAGGTTCAAGCGCATTCCCTTTGGACCACAGTGCACTGCACAGACAAAGCAATGGGCTGTTGGCCTTCAGGGCAGAGCACACTGTGCACACCTGGGAGATTGGTACTCAGGAGCGGCCTTAGTCTTCATGTCTACTCAGCACCGCCTCTGCTCTTGGTGGCGCATGGACCCAGTGCCGCCTGGCAACCTTTATGTCACGCTCCATGCAGACAAACTAGATATGGTGTGTCCACCTCAGCACCCAAGCATGAGGCGAGATGGCTGAGCCCCTTCCTGAGGGTGAGAGCAGCACGGGGCGCACCGTGCAAGAAGCATCATGGCCCAGTTCTCACCATACACGAGCTGGGAGTTCTGCTGCTTCAGTTCCCGCACAATGTCCACCACCATGGCCAGGAAGGACTTGTCTCTCGTGTAACCTTGGAAGGGAAAATCCAGGTTGTTTATCCTCCCGAAACAGGGCACACTGACCACCAGGACATCTGGTTTAACCAGAGCCATCAAATCAAGCATGCACCAGAGTGGGGGACAGGAACTACACAAGGTCTCCGAAGGTCTGTACTCTTAGAGGGGAAGACTGGCAGCCAGCTCCCTGAGACACAAGAGTTCTGAATGACGAGAATACAGATAATGGGCAAATTCCGCTTTTAACAAAATGTATCACTTTTTAAATGAATGTATGTCTGTGCAATGTATGTCTGTGCAATGTATGTCGATCTCTAGGACCCACATGGCAGAAAGACCTCTGCACCCATGCTGTGGCACCATATATGTGCGATTGTGTGGACGAGGACACACATATGCACACAATAAATAAGCATATAGATTGAATATGTAAAAAATACAACCAGAAACAGGACAGATGAACTCACGGAGCATTTCACCTTCGACCCAGGGTGGCAAAACTCTAAGGGCCTCCAGAAAGTGTTGGTGCCTAGTGCACACCAAGACCCTCCAGGAAGGAAACAGGGACAAGGCCTGAGCCTAGAAAGGGGATCTGTGCCTGACCTGTCACCAACTCGCCGGGAACCCTGCACCAGGACCTGGGGACCCTCACCAGTGAGCACGTAGTCGTACTTATTCACGCCGTTTATCTGGAGACCTTCATACAGTTCATGGAGCTCCTGCGAACTCAGCACTTGGCCCTTCCAATGGGCATAGCCTGCGGGAAGAAGACAGGCTAAGTTGTGGATGTGGGAACCCCAGGTTCCCCCCATGTCTGTCTCATCATATGACAACCCCCTACCCGCCCTGAGGAAGCCCAGTGAGCTGTTCTGAGGGCTGGCCTTAGGCCCGGACTGGATGTTCTGAGCTCAGTGCCTCAGTGGCATCCCAACACCCTGGAAGCACCCCAGTTTCTACACTGTGGGGGCTGAACAGCGGTCTCCTGCCCTGACTAATCTCCATCAAAACAATTCAGGGAGCACTCAGTACCCTAGGTAGGCCTGTGGAACTGTGTCCCAGAAGATGTGGACAGGGTCACGGGGGTATACAGCTATTTACACCCCAGCTCAGGACAGCCCACCCAGCCCCTCTCCTTAGCCCAAGGACGTGCCATAGTGGAAAAGCATACAAACATGCAGGTCGCCAGTTGTCGGCAAGAGGACACGGCAGCACTCCCTGTGGTTGACCTGTTCAGTTCTCCTAACACAGTAGTGCTATGACTGCCAGCTTAACAGAGAAGGAAACTGAGGCACAGAGGTTTTCCCACCAGTCAGCTCCAGAGGAGTGGTCACACAAGTTAGCTACTGTCTGGGCACAGGCTATGCACACAGTGGCACTTATAGGTTCCAGCCTCCAGTCTCAGGCCAGGTTATATGCCACGCTCACTTCCACCATGGCTGCCACCTTGTAGTCCTACCTGTGTGGTTCGAAAACTGCACGGAGTTCACGGCATCAACTTCAAATCCCAAAACCTGCAGGACAAACAGGAGAGGTGTGTGAGTCCCCGTCTGTGACCCCAAGAACTCAGAGCAGGGGTCCCAACCATGGCTAGAGTCTTGACATGAGGAGGGTGACAGATGAGGCCATCCAGGCAGTACAGACCCCCGGACAGGGTGGGAACAGAAGGCCTCCCCAAGCCAGCCAGATGCTTGCATTTCAGGGCCACACAAGGCTGACCATGGGCTTCCTCTGTTCCTTCACTCAGGAACACTGCCCAAAGGACCAGGGTGGCCATGCCCCTCTCCCTTGCTGGCATGCACTGAAGGCTTCACGAGCACCCGAGAGGGCCCACCTCATGAATGTGGTCAAAGAAAGCACTGTAAGCAGCTGTCTGTGCAGATAAGGAGCAGACCCTGTGCGCCTTCTAACCCACCCTGAGGAGGCAACACCCAGCCCCAGCTGGGCTGCTCAGCTCAGCCAGCCTCTAACACACCGGCTGGCAAACTCCCTCCCTCCATGTCAACGAGAGAAAGAAGGTCCCAGGTCAGGGCTGAGGTCCCCCAGAACAACCATGTTCCTTGAGCATCTTGCCGCTCTGAATGGCCTCTCATAGCTCCAGTGGGAGTCATCCAGACAGGACAAATGGGCCTCCTGAGACACGGAGACCGAGGCTCCCTGTGGTTAACCGTTCATCCTCAGCACACAAAGCAGCTCAGGGAGCCAAATTAAAGCTATGGACCTCCGAGCCAAATAAAAGCTATCACCAAGTCTAAAGCTTTTTATTTTAAAGTAACAGACCCTGAGCTTATGCAGTTTGTGGCCGGTGGTGGTGGTGGAAGTGGCGCACACCTTTAATCCTAGCACAGGGGAGGCAGAGGCAGGCAGATTTCTGTGAGTTCGAGGCCAGCCTGGTCTACAAGAGCTAATTCCAGGACGGGCTCCAAAGCTACAGAGAAACCCTATCTCAAAAACAAAAACAAACAAACAATAAAAAAACCCCACAAAAACCAAAAACCAAATCAAAACAATCCTAGTGTGGCAATGGCTGGAAATTCCATGGCTGGGGAGGATTCCTGGGCTCAGTAGTCAGCCACCCTAGCTTCCACCTCAAAAACTGAGGAGGGGGCTCCCCGGTTAAAAATGCTTGCTGTGCAATCATGAGGACCACCAGAGTTTAGCCCAGCATCCACTGTCACAAGCCAGATGTCGTGGGCACACAACCGTGTAACCAACTCCAGCTCCAGGACGGACTGAGACAGTCTCACAGAGACTTGCCGGTTTTCTTTCTGGCTGGAAAGGGAGACCCTGCCCCACAGGAACAGGCAGAGAGTGAGAGGGAGACTCCGGAAGAACTCTTCTGAACTCTGAGCACACACAGGTTGAGTGAGAGCACACGCGCAGATGTGGTTACACGCTCACACAGACACAAGTACGTAAACCAACCTCTCTCTCTTTCTCTGGTAAATAGTTCATGAAGAATAACATTCAGTGTTGATCTCTGGCACCTCCACAGGCACCCACACTAACGGGAACCCTTACTCTACAAATGACAGGTCCTTTTTAAGTGTAAGGGGGCAGTGTTCTGAACAACCCCAAAGCCACTGACATCTGTGTCCCTCGTGACTTGGAACCATAGTGATTCCTCCTGTTGCTTCTTCCACTTCCCTGTCTCCCCACGCTCTCCAGGGCAGCCTAAGTCTGTCAGTTGCCCAAGACGGCAGATGTTAGACTCGAGACAAGAGAGAGATTCCTTGGCCCACTGCCTGGTTCGTATCTGACCACCTTCAGGGCCCTGCCAGGCCTCCCAGCCTCAGCACTGGCCTCTTCCAGGCAGTTTCTTTCTCAGTATCCAAGTAGATCCAGGATGGCGGTCCATCATATGGCCCCTTCCCTGGCCGCAACATCCCTTCATGGAGTCGGCCATTTGAGTGGCACAAAATTACCCCAGACAGAGGAAAGGCCTCTTGTTCAGGGCCCTGTGCTCAGCTGTGTGTGGAGACGCGGAGATGAGAGGCCATCCTAGCAGAAATCTGGCCAGACTCCAGATCTCAGGCACCTTGGAGAGGAAGCCTGTGAAACCAAGGGATAGATTCAAGTCTATGAATGCAACAGCCGTCCGTCAGTCCTTCCACGGCCATCTCCACAGACCATCTGGCCATTTGTGGATTCCGACTATGTCCTTCTGACCTTGAGCCAAGATACCCTCAACCATGACAGGCATGGGGGTCAAAGCGGATTTGCACTGTACCCTCCAGTCACTCGGGAAGGGCCAGCATCCTGTTCTGGTACATGGCAGGAACATGGGATTCAGTCCTGTGCTGATCCTATCTACAGCCAGGCCACGCGGACCGGGCCACCCACCAGGACTCTGAACTGAGCCCACAGTGTCCTCCCACCTCTAGTTCAGGTCCCAGGCTGACTATGCCCAGACTGCTGCCACCGTCACCGCTGTTAATGTCCTCTCCACTCCCTCAACCAGGTCTCACCTAACGTCCACTTCTACAGCAATGCCAGGCAAAGGCCTCTGAACAAGAAGACCCCCCATGTAAAAGCATCCCACAATGCAGAAGCCACCAACAGAAGGGCCAGAAAGAGGGCCTGCCAGGGTGTGGCCACCAAGGGTCCAGGACTCAGGAGGAACTGAGTGGCTAGGACTCTGTCTACTACTGATATATAAAGCACAGACAACCCACCAGAGTCTCAAGCAGTGGTTCTCAACCCGTGGGCCGAGACCCCCCAAAGGGGTTTCATATCCGAGACCCCCACACATCCTGCATATCAGATATTTGTGCCAGGACTCATAACAGTAGAAAATTTACAGATATGAAGTAGCAACAGAGTAAGTTTGTGGTTGGGTGTCACCACAACGCGAGGAACTGTATTAAAGGGTCTCAGCATTAGGAAACCACTCTAGATTCTAGTGTGACGGAAGTCAGGAGTATGAACGCGTCGTAACACCTTTGCCAGAACCTCAAGGTAAATAGAGGGCTGAGGACTCCCTCCATCAGAACTCCAGGAGTTTCTGAACAGAAAGTTCTATGCATCTGACCCACGGACAGCAGAGAGGAGAGGTGTCAGTGACCGTGGAGTGGCAGAAAATGGGCCCTTTCCAGCACACTGCTCCTCATTAAAACATTAAAACCTCAAATGTTTCTGACGGGGCAGACAAGGGGGCTGCCTCACCTAGAGAGCCACCTGGATGAGACAAGGCAGCGTATGGGACAGAGAAACAGGGGCAAAGAGAGTGAGAGCCTGGAAGAGAGGCACAGATGCTAGAGACAAACCTCGGGTAGCATCAGGAGAGGGGCTGCCCTGGGGGAAAGGGGCAGAGGTTCTGGGTGCTGGCCACATGTCACACATTCTATGTGATGGTATTTGCTCTGTGCTAAGTCACTAAGCTCAAGGGCTTATGGTTTGCATTCACAGGCTCATCCCCAAACATTCAGGCCAGTGTAATCGCTGGGGCAATGCAACAAAAATTAGCAGTTGCACTAATCCAGAAAGGTAAAAACAGCACTTGGCAGATCCACTTGCCTATTCCAGACTTCTGTGCACCAGTATAGCTTCCAGCATCTCAAACCCCTGAAAATTCTAATAACTGTGATGAGCCAGGCTTATCACACGTCCCGGAATCCCTGCCAAGCTGTCCCATCCCGCTGCTTCTGCGTGCGCAGATAATTAATCCTTCAGAGCTGGCACACACGTCTCAGAAAGGGATTGCTATTTTCCGCTTCCAAATGATGGCGCTGAGCCCCTGGACTAGTGTTTCCATTTAAAATATTGCTGTCAAGAGTGCTGTATTAATCAGTGTCGCATGTTAGCTTCAACTTTTCCAGAATCCACCTCCCAAACGCGTATACAAAGCTCGGTCATCCTCAGCTGAGAAGGCAAAGAAAGACGGGCGCCTCACTCCCAGGTGGGAGCCCTGATGAAGTCTGCTGTCACTTAATTCCTCTTCTCAGCTCCAATCCATCCTTCTGGGGGCTTTGGCTGTGACTCTGCAGATCACATCCCTGCAGAGTGGTGGCTCCTGGCCAGGTACTTCCAACAGGAGGACAGAGTGGGACTGGGGAGTGGTGGGCAATGTGCCCGCTTCCACTGGTTGACTCAACCCCAGCAGCACTCTTGGTCCCCTGGGTGTCACTCCTCCTCCTCCAGGTGGCACGTCTCTCCCACCAGGATCAATGGCTCCTTCTCCAGGGGCAGTGGGACCTGTTATGAGGCTTGCCCAGGCTTTAATTTTTGCATCAATCAGCCGGTGTTCCCTTCCCCACCAGCTTGCTTGTTCTTGCTTGTTCACAAGGTGACCCAGGTTCATCTTGAACTCAGAGCAAGTCTCCTGACATAGTCTCCCAAACACGTTAACATCACATTCTGCTTTTTCTCCTTGTTTTTTGGACTTTTAATGACCTACCTTCTTCTCTCTTAAAGCGGGTGCTGGAATGCTTGTGTGTGTGTGTGTGTGTGTGTGTGTGTGTGTGTGCACACAAAATAGTTCTTGGCTCAAGCAGGAATTGGGACCGTGTCCCTCCCCCCACAATATGGTTAACAGCTGACTTCTCCCCAATGTTCACCTCCTCCAGGACAACTCGTAGGGCAGATTCCTTCCTGCCCCACTATGGCTCCAAGGTCACTCCGCATGAGCAGACCTCTCTCTGCCCCTCGGGACCTCCTGACCTTGGGCTGCATAGCAGTGGAACTGCTGATCTACCCCTGGGAAGCCTTTACTCAAAATGTCCCAGGAAATGTATCACAGGAAACTCAGTCCATTCAAATGGACTCACATGTTCTATGATAGGTGGGATTGGAAGGGTGGCCCTGTGGCCCTTGCTCGCCCTTGTGAGATTCTTTTAAGTGTGTGAATTCCCTCCCAGGGCCACACTTTTGCTATTTAGTTATAGGAGCCTTTTGAGAGTACTCTCCCCAGATTGCAAGGCAGAAGGGACCTTGGAGATGTGAAGGCTATGAAGGACCCCGTGAGTCACAGCGTCCAGGAAGGATGGAGAACGAGGTTGCAGAGGCCAGGGTTATA